TTTATCCACGATCGTTTCACACTCAAATATATATGAATTTTTCAATTTTCGTTTCCCAGTGTGCTCGCCTTTTGAATGCTTGCAAACTTTATTAATTATTGACAATAAACTCTCCCAACAACTGGTGTTCTGGCTTTTGAATATTCTTGAGTAGATTAATAGTACTACTTGACTTGTTTCAATACTCAGTTAGTGGGATATCATCTATTGGAGTCAAATTAAGGGAAATTAACCTCTAGAAATTTGAAGCGGAAAAGGTCCAGCATTTTGTGAAACATTTCTCAGTGACAAATAAAACCACGTGACCTATTTGTGAATTGTTCACTCACGCTGTCCCCAGATTACTTTATTTATACATCAAAAGGTAATGATTAGCCGCCTAAATGGAGATTTGTAGCTCAGGTGGATTATTTTGATGGAGTTTCGTTCTCTGAGCTGGATGGTTTAGCCGTGGAGCTTTCATCGTTCTTCTGGACGACATCATCAGCACAAACTTCAGGTAGAAGTGAAGTTCCCGAATTTCTCTACATGTGGTTCACAGCTTGTCCTGTGCACTTCGATGTTGATTGGTTCTTGTTGACCTTAAAATTGTCATTATTTACTTCTTTGCCTTGGTTGTATCTCGCATTGGTTTGATTTTTGTCCCTATGTTTGTACATAATTTTCCTGATTGGTTAATAAATTGGGTCGGTTTCAATGTGTTTGTTTATTGCTGATCGACCTGAGTGACAAGCTTCTAGAAATTCTCTGGTGTTTTTGGAATTGCCTCTATCCGAAATCTCTACAGGTTTTCAGCAGTCTCGTTGTCGTTTCTGATATGCCTTTTATGTATGGTAGAGTGATCCTTTTGCCAAGCACAGAAATCAACAAAAGAAAACCTTCGGAATAGGTGCTGCTCACAAAACAAAATCCCTACAATCAACCCTATACAAACCAAAGGATGAAATGACAAAAGAAGACAAACCAAACATCATCTACAAAAAAAATTGTGCCAACTGCGAAAAAACACTACATCGAACAAGACGGACGCCTTCTTCATCTTCGTCTGCATGAACATCAATCAGCAGTCAAACGCCATGACATGTCCTCACTTATATCAATGCACATGGACAACTGCGGACACACATTAGACTGGAAAATGTGGAGATTTCAGGTAGAGGCAATTCCAAAAACACCAGAGAATTTCTAGAAGCTTGTCACTCAGGTCGATCAGCAATAAACAAACACATTGAAACCGACCCAATTTATTAACCAATCAGGAAAATTATGTACAAACATAGGGACAAAAATCAAACCAATGCGAGATACAACCAAGGCAAAGAAGTAAATAATGACAATTTTAAGGTCAACAAGAACCAATCAACATCGAAGTGTACAGGACAAGCTGTGAACCACATGTAGAGAAATTCGGGAACTTCACTTCTACCTGAAGTTTGTGCTGATGATGTCGTCCAGAAGAACGATGAAAGCTCCACGGCTAAACCATCCAGCTCAGAGAACAAAACCCCATCAAAAACCCTTAAGTATTATAAGAATATAGGAGTCAGTAAATTAAAATGTATTGCAAAAATCCTTAAAATGTGGAAATCCATTTGCAAGCTTTGATGTCCGGAGAATTTAGACAAGACCTACCGAAGAGAGGGTAGATCCTCCAAAGCTACCTCTGAATAAACACCCTCCTCAGGCCATTTTTAGCTTCTAAATTGACCTTGGTAACATGATAAACATATCTTTGGGATATCTTCGAATGCAGCTCCAAGAGGTATTCCTCTTGCAACCTTTTTGCTCCTAACAGGATCCAAATTAATGCCTTCCTGCAACAGAGTTTAGTTGGAGTCCAGATCGTTTTCCAGAAAAAAGCCATAGTTATTTGAACCTCTTCAACGTAACAACGATATTGTGTGTTCATTGTAAAATTAATGTTGCAAGTCACCGGATCAAACAGTGCCTGTGCCTATCCTTAAAGTTGACTCTTGTCAGAAATAAATGGTTGTTCGAGCGTATTCATAGCAGTTAGCCACTGTTATTTGTTCACTGAATTGAAGCATCAAAAGCCCGTCCCAAACATAATTCATTTCGACTTAGCCTGAGGATTGAACTCACTTGTCTCAATTACTACGCATAGTATGTTGCTTTATAGAGGTAAAAGATCTTTTGGTGGAAATAATTTTTGAATTCATTTGATCTGCACTTAATGGAAACATACATATAGAGGATTACTAAAAGGCAACAACGTTTACTTCTATCCCGATTTCCCAGTTTCATTTAATAGTACAGCGCACAAGCGACTATTCGCTGAGATGCAATCCAAAAGCGCTTACTGAAACACAAGTAGTTACTGTCGATGCTGGTTCTCTACAATGGCTAGGAACGATCAATTAAATAATCGGAGATACGGTATACATCAGTATCCTCACTAACTAGTTCTGTTTTAAAAAAATCTTATTGTGTTATATTCAGTTGGCTATTCTGTATGTGTAGGAAAACGAGTCGTTTCAATGAGTATATTATGATACACATGTATAATTGAATTAAGATTATATTCCATTATATTACAGCGTTGGATCACTAAGTTTAAATTATGGAATACGTTAAAATATAAGCCCGAAATGTTTACTTTTCTCTTTGAATAAACTACGCTTTAGTTGGATATGTTGAAATGAATCTGACCGTTTTGTTAGTTTGAGCACAACTTTTTTTGAATAGTTTCGTAATTGCTAAGTGCAACTCTTCATCAATCTGCAAATTCCACCATAAATCGAGACTATGATATTTATTAATATTCTCTTGATTTGTTCGTGCATCCAGGTAAGTGTCAATTACATGCAAGAATAAGTTAGATTTCAATACTAAAATGTCTTCGTATTTTGTTGTGACGTTCTGAAGTGCTTGTTATCACATAATCTATTCGGCAATGAAAATACGACTTATTCGCTCTTATACTGCACTAAACCAATGACGTTCGATCGGTCTGATCAGCCTAGCGTCCTATTGGTTCGTTGCTCGCCTAGCCCGTTCAGCTGAGACCAGAATGCCAATAACAGCCTCCACTATGCGAATCATCTATTTCAGACATACTGAGTTTATATATTAAACAAACAGACCCCAACCCAGCATAAAATAGGAAATAACACTCGTACAAAATAGAGCCAAAAGTGGTTGTGAACGTGGAAGGCGCAGTAGTCCATAAACTGAACATAGCTTAAGAACTGTAAACCGTACAATAATAAATTGTAGGTCAAAATAAAGCTTATAACAAAGGGAATATAGATATACATAATCTAGTTACCGAATATTTATACCATGAGAATATATAAATAATAGGTCTCAGGACATTACTCGTAATGTAATCTTCACTAGGATATAACATATTTTGTAATATAATTTTTGTGAATTCTATGTTAAAGTTAAACGGGAAGACGAAGACACTAGCGATCAAACGGAAACTGATCAGAATCCACAACAAAAGGAATTAAAACGACGAAAGCCGATCAAAGTGCGTTCACAGTAACCTACAAAGCTACGTGTACGATCTTCTTTCTACTTTCATTGAAAGTTTTCTAAATTTGTTTCCGCTAATTTTATCTACTTGTTTTCCTCTTGTAAATCTAGACTACTTTCATATTAAGAATAAAAGTCCTTTTTCTTGTTTAACTGAACAATAGGAATGCTTATTTTTAATGTCAAGTTGTTACCACAAATTTAAATATTCTACAGTTTAATTGACGATTTTGTTTTTTAACATCTCTGTTGCTTTACTCTAGCCAATTTTCTTTTTCTTTGAGAAGCTTTGTATGTGCTAGTAAATTAATCCAACAATTGTATAATATTTATAGTTTGAGTATACGTTACACTTTTGGTATTTATTCTTTCTTGTAATACAGGCCATGATTAGTATGATAGGGGACTAAAACTGAATCACAAGAAGCGAGATGATGATATCAACTTGGCGATGGTAAAATTGTTTAGGCAATAAACAAGTAAACATAGTCGAATGTAGGCTAAGTTAAAACATAACCATAATAAACTTCTCTCAGTTAAATGGGATATTCAACTGTTCAAAATAAGATCATAAATAACTCCCTTACTAAATCATTCAACAACACATGAAGCCATTGTTTTACGCAATATACAAGACCCCATCAATGGATTCTAATTCGTAAGGCTGTTTTTCTAACTGACCCCCTCTCCTACCTAGTCCCAGCGTTGGTAAAAGTAATGCACAAGTGTACGATGCTTAAACGTTGTTAGGGCTCAATATTGTTAACACAATGTTGGCGACAGGTGTGAGTTATCTACCGTAGCGACTGCAGGTACAGACTATTGATAATGCAGTGTCGGTTACTATGTTAAACTCATGTAACTTACTGTAGCTCCTGGACAGGCCAATTTTTCCATTCTTCTTGAGTCACGTTTTGACCTTGTTAATTATTCACTTATCAACCCTGATTTTCTATATGAGCGTACGTGTGTGTACACTTCTTATCCTACTCATCACATGTCTCTAGCTTACTTTTGTGTGACTACAAGTATTGGTTAAAGCTTGATTAAATGAAGTTGGCTCACACGCCTTCCCCACCGTGCGTTATTTCGCTTCGCTCTCTTCCTTTCGCTTCTCCGATTTTTTGTCTGGATCAACGATTATATGAAATATAATTACTCCGAATTCATTCTCGTATTTGACCAATGCGATTTAAGTCGATAATTACATACAAAGATAGCCGACATGTGTATTTCGATAGCAATCAGTCATACGATGTTACTGGAGTCAGATAAAGGCCCACAAAAGTGGTGAGCCTATCGACAACATCGTCCCATCTAATTGACGTCTAAATGTATGACCCCACTAAAATAAGGCAAAGTAGAAGCCATATTTACAGATGTTTCACGCTAACTTATTGAGTTTCGTTTAAGTAGACTAAATCACATAACAAGACCTTTACGTACTTGAGAGCTAAGCATTCGGGAACATAATTACACCTCAAGTGAAATCCCACACTGGGGTTGTTGCAATAGCATCAGACAAAAAGTTGGAAAAAACGGCGACATAGGGTTACCCTGTCTTATTTCACTGTTGATCTCGATGATCGCAGAGATATGACTGTAACTTTGTGATCTTCCTAATGTATCTTTGCACGAGACCTATAATATTTGAGTAAATATTTCCAGAGTACAGTGCTAACTAATGAATTGACGGTATATCCTTCGTCGAAACTTCATAAACGGCTTTTTTAATGCATATGGGATAGATGGCCAGGAACCGAACGATAATTATTCCACAATTTAGAGAAACTCACTGCTAATTATCCTTTATATATAAACATATATTTTGAAAAAGAAAATACAAAAATTAGTTAACTCCTCGATTTGCATATGATTTTACCCGGAATATTCGTACAAGCCAACTGGAAGAAGTAAATGCTTCCTCTAAACCATGCAGTTCATAATTTCGATGCCCAATTACTTGACCACGTACGCGATCAAATCCAGGTGGCTTAGCTTTAAAAAAAATTTAAAGAATGGATTTGGATGGTAACAAAGTAAAGATCACAATTCTTCAATATTAAAAATAATGGAGACAACGTATTGTTATATATTTAGCTTAGTGTCTAATCACTGGTCACGACTATAATGCAGAGGAATAAATTCTTGCTCCGCGTTATATCTAGAGAATGATAATGATACATGTAAATGTGGAAAACCGGGGGTTATAACACTAGGATAAAAGTTAAATCACGTAAAACGACTTACTTTTATCAGTTTTCATTTCCCAGAATCGATAATAACTAAGTTTGTACAGTAAACAGTTCTGCATGGTAGGACTAGCTCTATCATCTACACGCATTTCACCTTGCGGTGAATAGTAATCATTCTCATGTACATGACGACCTTTTTCTGTACTACCAGCTATACGTACCATCCAGATAAATTTATTGATATCTATTATGAAAGAATATAGTCAAACGCATGTTTCTGTAAACGACAATAAATGGTCTTTAAATATGACAAAGTGTGATAAAGCCAATAACAGTATATTGTTTGATAATCTCTTAGATGATAATTTTTAGTGTCCTCACTATGTTTGATACGTACTATAAACTATGAACACGAACCAATGAGTGAGGGTACCTAGCTAGAATTATTAATATCCATTCACATATAGTATTACCATTCTTACTAGTAAACACCGGTAGAACGTAACAAGAAATATCCATTCATAATGTGAGCAACGGTGAGAAGATGACCGCCTTTGTACCATTGATAACACTCGAGACTAATTGACTGACTGAAAAGAGTGTAGTTTAGGTACTCAATTTCTAAATCCAAAGTATTCGATTCTAGATAGTACAATAAAAATGACTATCGTTTATATTTGTTTGTGCAAAAGGATCGATGATCCATGTACGGTAAGTTGTTACGTCAGACCAATACAATGAGAACACCTTACTTAACCTGTTCCTGTTGACTTTTATATAGGATAACAATCATTTAGACCTTTTTCGTTTCACCCAAAAACATACTATTGATATAACTGGACAAAGTGGAATGTAGACTGATTTTTTTTCAGCAGCATGTAGATTTGGGACAATCAAACTAAGGCTCTTTATTTGGTAACGTTTAATCAATCATTCTCAGAGGTCCAGTATCCTGCGGGAACAAATGGCGTATGAACCAATCGTTGGTCACCGGCTTCCATGGGACTGCATCTCCTCACGATGCTCCACTGCCTTGTGGGTCAGGCCGAAGGCTCGGGGAGTGGCCCTCTAAGAAAACCACCTACTTCGGTTTGGGCACCCGGGCAGTTTCACGGCCCTCACACAGATCAAATGAGATTCGTGTGGCGCATATGTATTCGGTGCTTCCTTGTACCAATATCTATGTGTTAAAATAAAAATAATTTAAGTAAAGCTTATATGAATGTTCACAAAAATTATTATTCAAACTACTTACCATCAGAACTGTACCCCAATACACCACCGAAAATAACCAGTACATAGTCAACATCTAATTCTTTCATGATTTCATAAGCTTCCTCTTCAGATGATGCCATAGCTTGACCTACACGACCAATATGAGTATTATTCCATGTATTATTGTCCACAAGCACAGTTCGATTAGCTATAGCAGTAATCTGATAGCCATAATCCCACCAAGACATAACTTTAGCATCCTAAGCGATAAAAGTAATTAGCATAAACATGTCATTAAATTAAACGAAGACACTTCGACAAACTGTTAAAAAGGATGGGACAACAGAGAACAAACTCAATCCATCCTCTTTATGTCGTCCCAACTAATAGTACCAATAATGTCATAGGAGGATTTAATTTAAAAACAAAACAAGAGAAATACGAAAACAATTTCTATTAAACAACTTACAGCCTTTGTATTCTCTCTAAGCCAATAATATGCTTCTCTATAATCATCTAATATATGACGATTACCAAAACCATCTACAGTTTCTAACACAATCGATGGATGAGAATATGATGACGATATAACCCATATACAATGCCTAGTGAATAGTATCAACAGAAATAATATAAGCAGAACCATAAATGAAGCTACCTGTAAGGATTGAGAAAAAAAGCACGGAGGATATGCTGATTTACATTTTTAGAAAAAAAATTCTATAACACATAAACTACAAAATAACAAATTATCATTACACTACATAAACATTCTTTTTTGAAAGGACCAAAGATATCCATTATGTCATTGTTATTGAATCGATATTTCCGTTACAAATATTGAAAGTATCATTTGAAAGTTCTAAACGTCTGGGTGAGAGCAGATAAGAGTGCCGTCTTTTTCGGCGATTGTCTCACTTACACTTGACATCTTAATTCGCTTCTTTTATTAGTCTGAAAAGTTGTCTAGTGTTACCCAAAACCGCTGTCTTTTCCATCAGTTACCAAAAAAACAGGATCTAGTGCAAGTTTTAATTCGAGTTGTGATAGTTCACATTAATAAAGAGCGGATATTTACATGGTAAAAGGAGTTAACGGAATAACATCAAGTATAGTGGAAAACCATATAAAAATGAACGAGTGGCATGGAAATCAAAATTTATAAGGATATTAAGAATGGGTACAAATGTAGTAATTTAAACGATCTTCAGACTACGACTCATAACGGTTACCCTAACGAAACTAGATGATATGGGATATGACTCAGTAAATGATAGTACTTTATTATCAGAATATGTTTTAACCAGAAACAAAGAGATATTAACTTACTGTATTTTTGAACGGATAAGTCGAGTCTTGGACTGTATTTTTATAAAGTTTATTACTATTTGGAATAGATGGATATCCATTAGCTGCGGTAAGTTTACTTGGTGTTTTCGTACTTTGACTATCTGGTACATTAAGATTAACTGAAAATGATTTCAAAATTCCAGAAACTCCAATTGCACCCAAAATACACATTATTGGTGCTAATACTAAGATAAGCCGAACCATAACACCCTAGAAAATTAGAGAACATATTTGAAAACAATCACATTACGTAAATTATAGTTCAGGAAACTAGGTTTTTTATTGGCTTATTACGTAATGCCATGGTTAATAAAATTGGAAGAATGATTTAGCACAATTTGTTAAAACATACAGTGAATGCAATAGTTATTTATTAACAGGAAAATCACGGTTACAAATAAGCAATATGGGATAATATTTATAGTATATGAAGGTAGTGGTACAATGAATTATCATAAGAGTGCGCCGTATAGTGTCACAGAACGACCGCAGATAGAGAGAATTTAGTTTTTTTTTGTCCAAGTCCTATCATGAGGTTGAGGATTGACAGCCTTTCTCAGGAAAGTCCTACTTACTGCTATAGTCTAGTATTTAGTGTTTGGATAGGATTGATAGGTACAGAGGGTTCACCTAAGAGTTTGGAAAACCATTATTCCAAATAAATGGGAATAATGATCTCTAAAATTCCAAAGAAGTTAATGAAAAGCAAACCTACTTAGGTTACTGGATCTTATAACACTGCTAGTGGACCAAACCCCTAAGTTAGAAGCTTGGGGGCAATCCCCTAAGATAACGACCTACTTTGTCTTGGATAGGGCATCCAGAAAATATTATAACCCACCCACAGATAGTGATTTTTGATGAATGAAATAATATTAAATGAATCGTACAAAATACATAGTTTTTAATAAAGCGACTATTGTCACTATGTGACTTTGTATAGCATCATACAATCACATTCTAATAAGTCACAAGCAAAAGAACAATCTGGCCAAAACCTGGCTACTATCATAAATCCAGGTTGCAGTTCTACATTAAATTTCTTAAAATACAAATTAATAAAATTTTTGATTTCGAACCAATCATCGTTTTCCCTCTCAAAACAATCTGTTTTCGGCGAATTCACTTTCAAAGCTGTACGATCGCAAATATATACTTGTTTTTTTCAAGATGATAGTAATCACAATAGAAATGATAAGAAAATTTGTTAAATATGGTAACAGTGAAGTAGAATAAACGAAAGCAATAAGACGGTTTTTATCAGGGAAACTAACGATAGTTTTATTGTTAAGGGCTTGAATGTTCATCGTGAAGATATGTAGGAAAATTATAATTGGGAAAGGATGGCTCAATGTGATAAGATAAATTGTTGAAATTGAGATGAAATGTAATCGGGAGGACTACAGAAACAGAAATAAACTAGTTGGGAGTAAAAAGTAATATAGAAAGAATAGAAGAGGAAGCAGATGACTTTGAAAGAAAAAGGTATGGAGAAAAGATTGTACCAATTTCTCTTGAACACAAGTCTGGTTTGAATCAACATGAACATTGGTTTTGAGGGTGGTAGTTATAGACGTTCTAAAGAGGAGAATTTCCGATTCTCTAAAAAGAACGTTCTTCGCTGCAACTTTGGGAATAGTGCTCGCCGGCCGATCAGTGTTCACCAGTAATTTTAAAGATAAATTATCTCATCTGATCAACTCTATGTGCATTTATCAGCCAGTCAGCCAGCTACAACGTAGGACCAGGCACATATGTGCATCGGTCCAAGTTACAATACCTCATTAGCAAAAGATGAACACCGGATTCATGGTAGTTAATTCAGTGGTAGTAATGCATAAAAGAAAGATTGCATATAAGGATATAGTACAGGAAGAAATAATTAGTTCGTAAAAAGAAAGATATGAAGCGATTTTAAAGTGATAATTTAAAGGAAGACAAAAAGTGTATACACCTACGCCATTGTGATAGATTCTGAGCCATGTCACCCACAGTCCCCAAACTATTGGTTACGATAATCACGCGGACCCCAACCAAGTAGTCTGCATCTACCAACATGGCTCAGACTAGTAGTTAGTGACTTCAAGCACTGATATCACGTTTTGGTTTGACAGCCCCTAACTTTCTTCCAACCATTTATCACTTTACCTCGGCATATGAAGCCAGGTATACAGATCATTCGATGCCTACTTTATCCAAAAGAATTCAAGAACGTTACTCGGCTTGGATAAAAGGAGGCGGAAACGGATCAATGGTCGAACACCTTATGAAGTGAGGGCACCCAATCAAATAGGAGTCAGCGTTCAACGTCATCCGCAAGGTAAATAGAAGGCTTCCACAAGCAGTTATATTGCATCTTCTTAACACTGTTGAAGCAATAGCTATTCATCTAGAAAAATCAGAATTATGTTCAAGAGAAATTGGTGCAACCTCTTCTTCTACCATGGTCTTAATGTCTTATAAGTTTCTTTTTTCTTTCAAAGTCATCTGCTTCCTCTTCTATTCTTTCTATATTACTTTTTACTCCCAACTAGTTTATTTCTGTTTCTGTAGTCCTCCCGATTACATTTCATCTCAATTTCAACAATTTATCTTATCACATTGAGCCATCCTTTCCCAATTATAATTTTCCTACATATCTTCACGATGAACATTCAAGCCCTTAACAATAAAACTATCGTTAGTTTCCCTGATAAAAACCGTCTTATTGCTTTCGTTTATTCTACTTCACTGTTACCATATTTAACAAATTTTCTTATCATTTCTATTGTGATTACTATCATCTTGAAAAAAACAAGTATATATTTGCGATCGTACAGCTTTGAAAGTGAATTCGCCGAAAATAGAACTATTCACTGAACTAATCTTTCTTACTTTACGTCTTAATAGGTATATTCTGTTTACTTAAAAAATACAGAGTTTATCAAGGGTTTTCAATCAATTTATCATTCTAGAGATGAGCGTAACCAAACTGGGTTGTTTAAGACATACATGGTTTAATTCAAGAAGTATATTGTACGAGCGATCATGGTCAAAGATCGTTTCATTGAACAAGTATATATCACTAACTAGCCATATAAGTGAAAGTTGGCTTAGAAATTAAGGGGTTTGACCTTCAATCACTAGGTCATAGGCTTGAGTAGCATTGGAGTATCATTTAGCCTAACATAAGGTGTGGCTCAAACTACACGAATCTACACTTGGTAAATGAGTGTTATCATCATTAATCGGTTTAGACCACAAGATAATGGCTGATGAACCAGTTACAACAAAAAACAATTACGAATTCGCTTACATTTTATTTACACATGTTTTCGTCACTGCAACGAAATGACAACCGATCAATCACTATTGATTACTAAAAATAATAGTAATTCAGTTATAGTTCAGCAAAAGACATGATTATGATAGATAAAACAGTGGGTTCGTTGTTAAACTACCTAACCCTAACCGATAGATTGTAAGTGTGAACCTTAATTCCCTATTGTTCGAACAATCAAGTATTATCACTACCCTTACACCAGTGGGAAAAGTGCAACAAAAAACCAATAATTATGATACCTAATAATAACAAATAATTATTGCAACTAACCGAAAAGTAAACGCTTGTAACGCCATATATTATTGCAAAGATACTAGCATCTGTCAATTTCCGGAAGCAATAGTATAAACCCACTAAAAATCAAAAGAGAATTGTTATTAGCATGCCGAATGAAGTTTTTTAACTTACCAGGAAACATTACCGTTAAGAAATGAAGATCGAAATAATAACAACTCCAAGCGGTCGGCTGATGCTCAGCTACAGAAGCAATGATTGGGATATGATTCTTGGCATAAGTTGGGTCCAACAGAGAATAGAATCGTCCAGTCCAAGGTGATATTTTTCCTGGATTATATAAATAATTTAGCCATTAACTTTAGAAAATATAAGTATTTACAAAACTACAATATAAGTTTGTAAGCCCCTATATATATATATATGATAAGCTCATGCCATGATCAAAATAGAATATTGAATCACCCAAAGTACAACCATTTTCTGTTTATCATAAAAGTCAAGATTACTAATGGATAGTGTTCCCGTTTACCACCATAATTTTAAACATACAACATCAACCTTACATGCACTTTTCATACTGTAAGCTTTACACGATGCCAATTATTTTAATCTGATTGTAAACAACCTAGTAATGAAACCAGGTACAGGCTTTTTTATGAGATTTAAAGCTGCACTCAACCAAGCTGAATAACGTTCAGGGCGATGACGTAACCCCTAAAGGTCAAATTCTTTAGCCATTAAGCTAACATACAAAAGCTTACTATATCATTCTACTACAAGAAAAGAAATTATTTTATTGAAACCTTAGAAATTCGTATGTTAATTGGAACTTTGCCTTTTTGAGATCCTATCGTATTGTCGACATTTTCTTACCATTACCTTGTCTATTTGATCTGACAACCTGGACTGATGTAATGAGTGTGAGTAATGAAGAGTTTGGTCAACGATAAGACTTGAATACAGTTGTCTGGTCGTCCATTTACATGCCAGTTAAATATATCATGAGCGATTTTTCCAAAAATGTGCTTATTAGTTGGTGGCGAATGATACACATAAAATCATCGATTGAACGTAAAGTACCCATTAGACTTAGTTAATATTGCTACATAAGATTAGACTTTTGTGATGAATTCCATTAATATGTTAGGGTTCCATTTCTAGTTGTTACATTTACTTGAACGATTTCTAACTAAATTAAGTTATTCCTAGTTTTTAATGTAAACGTTCATTTACATACACCATCATAAACCCTGGAAACTCATAAAGGACTAGTTGGTAAATCATAAATTACTTTCAGATTACTGGTGATCGGCAACTAATTTTTTATTTATGAAAAAGTATGCAATAGACATGAACAGATGAAGTTCTCCACGGAGTAAGTTTAAGAAAAATCAATGCTCACCTGTAGCAGACAACACAGAACCACCAATCAACGATATAACAAACAATGATAAACCAAAAACACGCAAAACTATTGACAGTTGTTCAGAAGATAAAGCCCCATGAAGGTACGTATAAAAGGAGAAAAGTTGACATAATCCAAACACCCCGAGAGCCTAAAACTAAAGTGGCAACAAAAATGAAAAACTTACTCCTATATGTTCACTGGATATTATAGGAGCGAAGCCAACAAAACTAATCTGCATTGACAGTATAGTGCCTAGAACGTAGACCTATAAAAAAGCTCGTTTAAACAACTGAAATTACAGTAGAGTAGGCAGAGTAAACACGACTTGAAAATCTCCCAGTAAGCATGAGCATTAATACATGAATAGGTATGATGTTTATTAAAAATACGTATCCACCCCAGGAAGAAACCTAGAATCATTAAACGTGAGAACAACCAACATACCATGTAAAAGTACGCTAAGCTGCAAGCGCAAGCCCAGAACAAGTAACCGGTTTTAACAGCTTTAATCCACAGATAGAACGTAAATATCATGCAGAATATGGCGATTCCTTCGTTATCATAAGAACCTGCAACTGATCGGCTAATGTAACCAGGTACAATTGCAACCAAAGCAGCAGCTATTAGGCCAGAACTAGTGTCCTGAATCTCACTTGTCAGTAAAAAGGTTGCTAAAGTTGTAAAACTGTGAAGATAAATTATTGTACAATCTCACCTTGAAAACAAAGGTGCCAAAAATACACATATGTTTCGTATATCCATGGTAACATTTATAGCATGAAGTAGTGAGTATATAAAAGACGATGTCATCATAAGACCTATGATATATCTTCAATATCTCAAACTTACCAGGATAAATTGTACCTCCAATAATCCTTCCAAGTGGATACCATGCCATATCATCGAACCAATCATGAAATTGGTAAAATCCATTCTCAGTCATAAAACGTGTAGTTCGATAATTAAAATAAGGGTCAAATTCATGAATAACAGATTCGAAACGAATAACAGAGTACAACCTAACAGCAAAAGCTTGATCATAATTGGAAATCAACAAAAACCTACCTAAAATAGCAGCGACACACACCACAGACAGTTGCAAAAGGATAGCCTGTTTCTCATTGTTCAAGTGTAAAAGCTTAGCCACATCCATCTAAAACAAGTTTAGCACAGAGAGAGTTGTGACCAAGATCAATTAGTGCGACGAATGTATAACATTTATTAAGGTAGAATGAAAGTAATGAAAATGAATTTATTGAAGACGGAAAAATTATTGAGGGTTAATGTACAAAAACGGACGTGTAAATTTCAAACGGTAAATGAATAAACTACAGCTAAACATATAAAAACCAAAGTTTAAAAACACCAAAAAGATAACATATCGAAATAAATCCAAGGGGAACTATGATCACGGATAAGTGACAGCTTCTCGAGTAAGTCAACAAAAAACAAAAACGAAAAATAACAGGGACTACTGTAGGACATATTTAATAAACCTGGTCTACTTCAGGAACCTATTTAAATTAGTTTAACTGGTAGTTAATTCGTGAATACGACCAAGTAGTCGCTAACACCAAACAGTCTACTAACTTTAAAATTGCTCTAAAGACGATCAAAAAGGGGTCGTTCCGAGATGATCAATCCCTTTGGATATAGTCTTCCCGTCAGTTTGGGATTGACTGAGAACACAAAGTCCCACGAATTTAAGACGAATAACAATTCGGAATGATGCCAAGGTCGACAATCCCGGAATTACCGCTTTTAACTTACGTCATCTGACTGGAACAGTTAAACACTATTGCGAATCTCCTCACTAACATTATTTTAATAACTCGAAATTTACATCCTTCACTGTTAGTATCAAAGTGTGTCAGGCTATTTATATGGGGGATTTGGACGTACATAATCTTTCAACAGAATTTTACTACAAGTTCCAGAATGAATATCAACAATTCTGGTAAATAATTTATGATTTTAACCGACTTCTGAAAATAAATAGCCCTGCAGACGTTCCAGATCGGAGCCGAATTTGTTACAACACCCATATCAGAAGTTGATCAAACATCGTCATCTCCAAACACTTCTGTGGAAAGGTTCTCACATATGCAGTCACATTAGTAATCTCATGCACTTCTTGCCTGTTGCACCGTTCATTTGTATTGCTTCTCCTTACCATTGACATCTTCAGTCTTCAGTAGTAGGGATAGGAGGTCATTCGACCTACATAAATCCTTGCAATTTGTGGCACTGTGGAGATCCAGTCTCGCTTCGAATGTATCAATATAAAGCCCTGATATTACGTTTTCTGGCAAAGAATCCCATTAGTTAACCACTCAGTGCGAGAAACGTCACTCCAGACGTCAACAATTTAATCTCAGTTTCAGAACTTTCTTAGAATGTCTTCTAATGGTCAGCCCTATGTGGAAAGAAAAGAAAAGCATATTTTTACGAAGATCATCGTTTAGTATATGGTAAGCTAGTGTTATATAATCCTGTAATCTTCGGTAAAATTTCGAAGATAGATCTAGGTGTCTGAGACTGTTTTCATAAGATAGGCTGGGGAGACCTTTAATCATTTTGGTCCCTCGTCGTTCAACAAGTCCTAGCACGTCCACCTTATACTAAAAACAGGAACTCTCTACCCCAATCCTTTATTACAAACGCGGCCTAATAGAGGTCGGGTATGATACCTTATACAATTCTTCGTCTAAGTAGTGAAATAACTTATAAATGGCCCGTAACACCCTTAAGCCTTTATAGCTCTAGTCTTGCAGTTACTTTTAATTTTGAACTCGTTGCCTATTATGACTCTGTAACAACCTACGTTGATTGATTGAAAGTTTGCCGCAAACATCTAAATAAATCATAGAACACTGAAGCTCAAGCATTTATTCACTTCCTTACTTTGCATAGGGATTATACTTCACATTATTTTACATTGAGTGTCGTAAAGATCTATATGTTTGAAAAGGTAACCTCACGCTCCAATTCACCTTCAAGAATTTCAAAATAAAGACCTATTCACTGCTATTATGGTTTCTTCTATTGGTAGAACGAGGAGTACCCCTTAACATAAATTTGAAAAGCTGTCGATATCTCGAGAAGCGACCGATCTAAGCTGGCTAAAGATTGTAAGGGATGCTTCCCCACTATTGATGCGTGACCGAGCGTCTTCAGCTAGATATGTCTATCAAAACTAGTGACGTTAGCAACAAGTATCAAAGACTAACAGAATTATTTATTTTGGGGATTTATTTTTCGCTACATATGTAAGCTGTAATGACTTCACATACCTTATTTTAACGGATTCATTTATAGTTTCTGTTTGACCTAATGCTCACAACTAGATTGCATTCACAGTTACTTCTAACTCTCCATTTATCAACACTACTATGGATAATTGACCCAATAGGTAGTCAGGACATTGCTCTTGTAGTATAACTCTCACGACTACACTCTAGCTGAACCAATTGTTGTCAGTCATCCATACAATATTTTGGAAATTACCGCTAGTACCATTTGACTAAACCTTATTTGATGTATATGAAGGTTCATGCATCTTTTTTTGTCGTATAACTAAAACCAATAGCATATATGGCTTTTGTTTATTATTATTATTATTATTATTATTATTATTATTAGCATGGGCAGGAAACACTTGCGCTGTTCATACTTTAGCCGGCTAACAACCGACTAAAGTATACGTTCCACTGTGGCTTGTTAGGACGCTGTGGTGTACTTGTATTATTATTATTTTTATTATTATTATTATTATTATTATTATTATTCACAAATATCTTATGGGCACATAAGTGCTGTGAAGAAACCAATTCAGGTTTCTTCAAAAATGCTCTAGTACACAAGTTTCAATAATGTTAGCGTTATATTTGCCATATTTGAAAAAGGGGATAATATTAATAATAGAATAATAATAAATCATGTTCTGTGTAATTGAGAAGAATATTGAAATGAGTTTAAAGAAGGAAAGAAAGAAAACAAGGGAATAGAAATAAAGGAAACGTCAAATACGCAAATAGTTTAATAGGCGTTTTTATGAGCACAGAACAAGAATAGACGACTATGTGTTGTAGCGGTAAATAAATCCCCAAAATAAATAGCACTAAGTTTTCGACATTGGATGCTGACCATATGTTTTAGTGGACTCATCTAGCTGAAGGCGCTCGGTCTTGCATCCGCACCAGATCACGTGTGGTAACGCCGTGCTCAACATCAACCGCAATCGCTAGCCAGATTAGATCAGAGAATTCCGATATATTGGTCATCGCCAAATATACTCTTCCGATCTCCTCGACTCTGTCTTTTGATTTCTCTGGGCGGGAACGAAATACATTAGAAGGTGTTACTGGTAGAAGCGTTGTCAAACACTGAATACCTGTGACATCATCATTGGTGAAACCGACGTGATCTGGTACACCTAATTGCAACTGTGAGTCTGTTCCTTTTTGGGATTTTTATATATCATTGCCTTATTTTTTTAACTTTTTTAAACATTGTGATTTTTTTTTTCGTGTTTTTTCCTGGATATATATATTTTCCTCTTGTTCATTATCGTACTTCATACTTCATCATGACTGAACACACACCTAAAGTACTCAAGCTTAAGACCTTGTCCCCACCTTCGTTTCAACTGATGCCTTTCTGGCCCGACAACATCGAAGCTTGGTTTTGCTACGCAGAAACCGACTTCTACGAGCACGGCGTGATCGACACACGTGCACAATTCCTCGCAGTAGTCAAGGCACTACCGCGCGAATTCAACAGGTACGTAACACCTAGTATGTTTACTAGTGATGTTTCCGATCCTTGCGAAATTTTAAAACGCTCGATTCTTAAAAGAGGAGACCTAACCGATCGACAAAGGTTAGATCAACTCTTCAACAATATCGACCTGCAACACGGTTCTGCGACAGACATGTTGCAACGGATGAGAGAGGTTATAGGCCCAAGAACTTTCGACGAAGGCCTATTCAAACAACTCTTCTTGTCAAAACTTCCACAACAGGTGCAAGCAGTTCTGGTCTCGTTCCAGAACAACGCCTTAGACGAGCTAGCTGCATCTGCCGACCGCATTTTAGAAATTACGAAACCTCCTACTACCGAGGTATTTTCAGTCAAAGAAAAACCTCAAACGACTCAGAATGATATAACCGACTTATGTCACACACTCACGCGTTATCTTAGTCTTCGTAACGACCGTAAGAGATCGCGCACACCACGTAGAAGCATTTCACGTAAGCGATCTGTCTCTAGACCACGAGAGACAGATAACCCCGACTGGTGCTGGTATCATAACCAGTATGGAAAGTTTTCCAGAAATTGCAGAAAACCCTGCAATTTTCCCAACACGAAACCGACTGATTCGAAAAGCAATTCGGGAAACTTCCAAGCCGGCACGCGTTAACGGCAACCGTAGCCGGCGAACAAAGCCGTCTGTTATTCGTCACAGATGTGACAACGAGAGTTCGTTACCTCGTCGACACTGGCGCAGAAGTTAGCGTTCTCCCAGCAAATCCTAACGACCGGCTTCAGGAGTCGGCTTTTAACTTACAGTCGGCAAATGGAAAACCGATCGCTACGTATGGCAAAAGCTACGTTTACCTTAACGTGGGTTTACGCAAACCCATTCACTGGATTTTCGTTGTTGCAGATGTTTCTATGCCAATCATTGGTATGGACCTTCTACAACATCACAATCTGATCATCGACACTCGCAAACGGAGGCTAGTAGACGGAAACACTAATTTGTCCGTTTGCGTAACTTCTTTTACTGGTTGTAGAGTATCCCCAGTCACAGTTAAACATATGATAGACCCACTCTATCAACCACTACTCGATAAGTACCCTGAGATACAACAAACTCAAACGAAACTACCGTGTGTAACCAGCAATGTTACACATCACATCACGACTACAGGACCACCTGTATTTTCTAAAGCACGCCGACTAGCTCCTGAAAAGCTAAGGTTAGCGAAAAACGAATTCGATCACATGATGGACTTAGGAATCATACGACCGTCAAGTAGCCCATATGCATCTCCGTTGCACATGGTCCCTAAAAAGGACTGCAACGATTGGCGTCCAACTGGTGACTATCGGCGATTGAACGCGAAAACCATTCCCGATCGTTACCCGTTGCCTCACGTTCACGATTTGACAGCTACCTTGAAAGGTACAACTGTCTTTTCGAAAATCGACTTGGTTAAAGCGTATAACCAAATACCTATGGCTACTGACGACATACCGAAAACGGCTATCGTAACTCCCTTCGGACTCTATGAATTTTTGCGAATGCCTTTCGGTCTAAGGAATGCTGCTCAAACATTCCAAAGATTCATAGACGACGTTTTACGAGGTCTCAACTTTGTACACGCGTATGTTGATGACTGTCTAATCGCAAGTCCGGACAGAGAAACACATCTCAAGCATCTGGATCTTGTTTTCGAACGACTTCAAAAACATGGCATAACTGTAAACGTTCAGAAATGCCAATTCGGAACCAACTCGTTAGACTTCCTAGGACACACTATCGATGCTCAAGGCATTCGACCTCTTAGGACCAAAGTGGCGGCCATTCTGGATTACCCAGAACCGACCACCGTCAAGCAATTACGCACGTTTAACGGCCTCGTAAGTTTCTATAGACGTTTCATACCTAAATGCGCAATACTTATGAAACCTCTGACCGACCAACTTCGTGGAAATGCGAAATCCATTAATTTGGACGACACCGCACGAA